ACGTAAACTTTTTGCTCTGCTCTACTCCCGCTCCATCCCAACACATGACGAACAAAGCGTTCTATTTGTTGGCTTGCCAGATATCTTCAGTGACTTCGCTTGGTATGCTTTCAACTGCTCGTCTTTCCTTCTCACAGAAATGCATGTTTCTCCTTGACTCTTCACATAATTTAAATGTATTTTTTTTTCCTTTTCTGCAATCTACACAACCGGTTTCTGGTTACTCTTATAAAACAAAAGCGTTCGTTAAGCAAATTGGAAAGCTTACAAGCGAAATACACAAAAAGCAGTAGAATATTTGCAAAAACAAAAATAAATAAAGAAAATGAAGGGCCAAAATATTCTTGGTTTTAGCTTGGGAAGTATTTTGTATCAACGTTTTCGTATTCTTGTCTTGCTGTGGCTCAGCAACTCTTCGTCTTGGTCTTGTAAGCAATTTCATTGAGATGAGAAAAGGGAGTGCCGCGAAATTCACTATGCAACTTTTAATGGTTTTGTTCTAAATTCCATTGAAGAGTGGGTAGGAGCAGTGGGAAAAGACAGGAAGAAGTGTAAAAACGAATTTTTGGTTAACCGAACAAAGTGTTGTTAAGAGCAAAGCAGCGTTTAAAGTAACGTCAGGTAACACATATCCAAGGAACTCTAGGAGTTTGGAACGAAGACATTCAAACTGTGCTAAATCTCTTGGAAAAATAAAGTACTATACTCTGCTGTGCGACGAGGAAGACGTATTGACAAACGAACTATCTTGACTTTGTACAGGCTCCGTCAATGGAAGCGACGAATAAAGAGCTTATACTTGTTTTTCCCGAATAAAACCTCTCACTAAGCCAGAGCAACGTATTCCAGCAGCTCTGTCACTTATACAAATGACCGAGTAATAGAGAGTACCAGAGAGAGGTTCTTCCAACCAGTAAATCCAATATTCAGCAGGTGCTGGTAGTAGTTAGCAAAAAGGCTTTGCCACTGCGGTGGAACCCAAGGTTCCCAACCTCAAATTATGCACATCCAGGCTGGTCTATCTAATAGAATGGTTCTGGTACTAAACAAGAGCTCGAAGAAATATTATCCCTCCTCCTGTCGTCCGACAAAAGAGACAGCATATTCGTGCCTTGGCTACCGCGTCAAAATTGGCAGTCATAACTCGGAAGAGCTGTGTACGTCTATCGTCTATATGCAAAGCAATGACCACACCAACAACTTTGTCAGCCCGGATATCCAACACAGCAGGCAACGGAGATTAGGCAATTGAAAAGTAAAGTATTCTCTTGACTAACCATGTACAAGCTCTTTAAGCTTGTTTCCGTCCTGATGTACGCACTACTCAGTGATGAGCAGTTTAAGATGGATTTGAACTATAGTGAATGAGAAGAAAAGGAAACGTAAGAACGAGCAAAGTAGTTAGGGACTTCAACCAGAGAATATCCGAAGCAACACAACCTCAAACTCTATTCTGGCACTAAGATTTTAATATTCTCAACTCGCCACACTACAACCTGCCAACAACTACCGATATACTATGTTCCAGAGACTAATTTTGAAACACATATTGAGGTTAGGTTAGACTCAAAACGCTGTTTACTCTACTTATTGGGTGTCTTCAAACGCAAAACTGTAACCGTAAAGCTGTCACGAAAACTCTGTGTATATAATAAAATCTCTGTATGTTTGGCCTTGTCATATAGTTAAACCAAAAAGTTAATAGAGACATCATTATGAGCGCGATATCATCAATGACCATAAAACTAAATCATTTGTTTGTAAGCCAATTCAATTAAAGCAATACAAATTAATATAAAAAAAAAATATATATATATATATATAAATTTAATAAAATACCGTAAGAGAACAAAAAAAAAACTATCTCGTGCCCGTCTACAACAGCACAACAGTTAATCGCTGGCAATTAATCTGGCTTAAAAACATTTTACCAGCGCGACTTAAGCACAGACACACTCGATGTGAACTAATTTAATATATATTTATATATATACAATGTATATAGCATGTATGTATGTACATCTCAACACACTTTTTTGGCTAACGATTTGCTCTTTGAACGCATTTTCTACCAATAACTTCACACACACATACATTATGACACACATTCACTGCAATACATATGTACATACATATTTATTTGCAACGGTTTACTCGCCGTTTCGATTGCGTAATGACACTTCTCTTAGCCAATAATATATTGACTATTAATTTTAGCCGGAAATTGCGACATCTCTTAGCCGGTCATCGTTGGTGAGCAAATATTATCGCACAAATACATACATATATATGTATGTAAGTACATAGTTACAAATAAGCAAAAAAGGAAGAGTTGGTGGAATAGAAAATTGCAGAGTTGACATTTTTATTAGATTAAATTGAAATTGAAAAGTCAGCGATTGTGAGGTAAATTAATTAGGAAAATAGAGAAGTAAAGAAATTAAAATTATATATAAAAATAAATACATAAGAAATTATATTAAAAAAATTAAAATTTATTTTTTACTGAAAAATACTTAGAATATGTGGGAGACCATATTAAATGCACTTAAGCAAAATTGAAATTAATTAAAAAAATGTCTGATTCCATACAGCTAAATCAAAGCCGAAATAATTAAAAAAAAATATTAATTATTTATCGTTAATTATTTTTAATGATAAATATAGAAAATTTGTTCATAAATAATTAATATTAAAAATTAATAGTTAACCAATTATAATATGAATTTTATATTTATTATTAAATAATTAATTTTAATAGTTTTGACGACCTTTCTTTTCTTTCAAATTGAAATTCTTTTCCGGCTTGTGGTAAATATAAATATAAAAAATAATTGAAAGAAAACTTATTAGTTAAAAAAATATTTATTTTATTATAACTTTTTTAAAAAAACCAGTTAAATTATCTACATTAAAATCAATAATACAAAAGTTAACTAAAATTAAGAGGTAGCAACAAAATCATTAAAAATATAATTTTTTTACTTTACTAAATGCGCAAAAAAAATAAATGAGTATTAAAAAATTAATAGAAAAAATAAATAAAATGGAAAACATACATATAATAAAATATGTATAGCAAAATATGAATAATAAATAAATATAAATATATATAACTATAAAATAATATAAAATAAAATATTATAAAAAAGTAAAAATAATTTAAATGAAAAGAAAATCAAACAGTCGCAACAAAATGATTAAAAATATATATTTTTATTTTACTAAATGGGCAATAATAAAAAATGAGCATCAAAAAATTAATAGAAAGAATAATAAAAAAATAAATATATAATAAAATATGTATAACTAAATCTAAATTAGAAATAGGACATAAATAAAAATTTATGTAATCTGAAAACAATATAAAACAAAATATAATAAATATGCGAAAATAGTTTAAATTAAAAAAAATACATTTATATAGGTAATAAAAAATAAATAAATGCATATAAATAAATAATTATAACACTAAATAAAGAAAATAAATAAATAAAAAATAAAAACTAAATAAATACAAAAAAACAAGTTTTTAGATCTTGACTTTTTAAACCAAATAAAATTATCAAAATTAGCAAAACTATAGACCCTATAAGAATAAATGATAGAATACAATTATTAATAAATAACTTAATAAAATAAAATAAAACAAAATAAAAACTTAAAAATATTAAAAAATTAAAAATAAAAATATTTTAAATTAAAAAAAGAATCGTAAAAAGAAAATTAAAATTCAATTTAAATAAAAATATATAACTTTTTACAAATGTTTAGAAATAATAACTTATTAGACGTTCAAAAATAATAATATTCAAAAAATAATTTAAATAGCTAAATTAAAAAAAAATATTTACTTTCCAAAGTTAATCCAAAAAAAAACAATGATTGAAAATAATAAATTTTACAACTATATAATTAGAAAAATTCAATGAAAAATAAAAATAGCTTTATAATTTAAATTAATATATATTTAATTTTTTTTAAATACATAAATACATAAATAAACAGTTATTAAACATTTAAAAATAATAATAAAAATATAATAAACTTAAAAATTATGTTTCTTTCACGAAAAAGGCGCATGAAATATTTATTAAAAATGGTTGGAAAATAAAAAAGAATAACTGAAAAAAGGTATAACTATACATGCAGAAAATAATAATATAAAATAAAATATTTTCAATATTTTCTCAAATATTTATTAAAAATGGGTTAAAATAAAATAAAATAAATTCAAAAAAATTATAACTATATCAGCAAAAACAAACTATATTTAGAAAAATAATAATATAAATTAAAATATTTTAATATTTTCTTAAATATATAATCATTAAACATTTAAAATTAATAAAATCATAATAGAATTAAAAAACTTCCAATTATTAAAAACCCACAATAATATTTTTCTCAAAACAGCATAAAATTAATAATTATTGAAAGATAATTGTTGAAAAATAATAAAGGCGAAAATAAAAAAATATTATTAAATATTTGGAAAACATTAAATGTTTTATACATATTTATTTATTATTCTACATATGTGAAGATAAAATCCATATACAAAAAAAACGCAACTATTAATATTTAAAAATTGAAAAGTAATAAAAAATATATTGTATAAAAAGTTATTATTTAATTTTCAAATAAATATATAAATAAAAAGTGCAGTATCTGAAAGATATATATATATTAATTAAAAATTTTTAGTTAAAAAAATAATTATAATCAAAACTAATTTCTGACTTAAATAATAAAAATTAATGAAGCAAAAAATGACCGCAACCAATTTTCATTCGTGTTCGTGCAAAATGAGTTTAGATAAATCTTATAGGTAAATTATATGCAAAGTGCAAAACCTTTAAAGCAAGCTATTTACAGTGCGCTCATAACAAAAAAAAAATATTGTGAATATTCATAAAAATTACAAAAGTGATTTTTTTTAAATTAATATGCATTGTTAATCATAGAAAATTGGTTTGCTTATGAAAAATTTTGCTTACTGTCTCATAGAGCCCCAACGACGATTTGTCAGGCTATCAGGATTGCTGCAATGAATAAATTATAATATACATTAAATTAATGGAATTTACTTTTAAACATTTTGTTCATAAAAATTTCGATACAAATATTTTCTTTCAAGATGAATAGAAATTTAAGTATGATTTATTCTTCCAAATAATTCAAAAAAGTGAAATTTCTAATGGAAGAACATATCAAAGCAATTTATGCCGTAAAAATTCTTGAGAAGCCTTGAAATCTCTTAAGAAAAAAAATCCTAAAATTCATAAAAGATAAAAGGATATCGGAAAAAGAGTAATGAGACACAAATAATTTCTTGGGAAAATACTAACCCTTACATGAATCCTCTTAGGTACCCTAATTACGGTTATATATACCCCTGATTACGGTTATATTACATTTACTCGATAGTTTGCTAAGAGAGTGCTTCTCTGCCGCTTTTAATATGGTATATCTAATTATAGTTAGTAAGCCCAAATATCTCAGTCATTCGCTGGCTTCCATGAGTGCGAAGAGTTTCGGTTGAAAGACGCTGTAGTGTTACCATTAGGAAGGCCAAGGATTGAGTCCTGGTTCGACAGACATCAGAAAATATGGAAAACTAATTTTTCTAATTGTGACTGCTCCTGCGAAGGAGAAATATCAAGCCCTGTAAGTGTATTTCCAGCATGCTATAAAAGCTCCCTATAAAAATCCATCAGCCCTTCAATAGTAGCTGAGAATAAACTGTAGGGTTCTCCATTTGCTGATAAGAACCATGAGAAGCACATCACAAATTTGAGGAACATGTCGGCCAGTTATCAGGTTTTGGGCCTTCTGTTAGGGCGACTACAGCTTTCTGGTCCAATTCGTACCTATGTGAAGTTTTTGTGGTAAACCGATTGTAAAAACAGCTACTGGGGGTGGTTAATACAGCTACTCCGGCAACCCTGCGAGAGGTAACATTTTGTGGTATCCTGAACCACAATTCCACCAGGCTTGAGTTGCAGCTCGCTTGCAGTTTGCCGTACAGGTCTGAAGAAGGGAACTTCAGAAGAGTTTCCAGCGCTTTTGAAGGGATAATTGAAGATCACTGAACTCTCTCTCTCTCTCTAGTTTGCTTCTGAAAGTAATTTTTTCGAGTGCCTAATATCACATGCTGACACTGTAGAATAAAAGTGGTCTAAGTATCCGTAACCTCAGTGGTTAGTATTCGTGTTTAGCTGCTACTCTTGCCAAAAGCAGCTTTGAAAACGCTGAAGTGTTTGGACTCCAGTTAAGTTTGAGAGAGAGAGAGAGATTGATCTACATACCCTTTCGTAGGGATGTCAAAAAGGACCACTTTGGTTTCTGTCAAAAAGGACCACTTTGGTCGATGCCAACCTAGAACGCACTGTACTTGTATCAGTATTCTACTACGTGTAAGGCATTTGAAGTAGATTTCTTAGAATTTGTAGCTATTGTTGTTAGAGCAATTCTTAGCTAATTCAAAAAACTAAGTAAGACTGAAATGAGGCGAACCTCACCTACCTTGGTTAGAATGAAATGACCAAATGTAGCGTAAATATTGTACCCAATAACGAATACCTGAAATCTTAAACTTCAGCAGCAGTAAAGATTAATTTAAATCAAAAAAGATCTTGGCGCAAAAAGAATGTACATACGATCGTTTGCCCCAAAAGAGTTCCAAAACCAAGCGATCGCTATAACAGAGATCACTTCGCATCTTCAAAGTAAACAAAAATGTTTAACATCAGACCAGTTTACGGTATGTAAAAGAGAAAATTTAAGAGCGTAATCAAGAGCGAGAATAAGTACAAAATTACTCTTGAGTGACTCTACATAACATAATAGTTTGAGTGTAATGTTGAGTGAAGATCTCTTTCTGATCGTGCGCTCTTTTGACAACAACTACAATACATTATTTATGACAGAAAGTTGTATATAAACAAAACAAAGCCAAAAATAAACAACATATAATTTTTATTTTATTTTATTTTTTTTTTTTTTTTACCTGTGTTTTATGGCTTAAAGCGCTGATCTACGCGTAGACATGGAAACCAGTTTTTGTTTTAAGTCAGACTTTTGTATTTATTGTGATGACGTATGTATGTACATATGTCTACGAGTATATATATATATGAGTAAGTAGATATTTTTCATTTCAAAAATGAGCGAGAAGACAAAGAGACTGATAAAATAAAAAAAAGTGATTCGCATACAAAAGTCGTAGATTGCATATAGGCAGGTATGAAAACATACAAATTTACTAACATATATGTACATAATTTTGTGCATGTGCTCGAAGGTGAGCGTTATATCGAAGTAGAAAAACGACACTGACTTATGAGTGTACAAAGGTAGCTGTTCTGACGGTATGCAAATTGCGTTTTATATAGTAAAGGGTGCTTTTTCCGGGCATTTGGTGCTCAAGAAGAAATAAGAGGCAGATAATTTCATGTTAAAGCCGAGAACTTAGATTTATTATAAAGATAAGGGTTTGCGCTTATTTCACCTCGGGCAAGTAACCGAATGGCAGCCGAATGGCTCAATTTTCGCAGCAATCGGTGCTATTGTTATTCTTTTCTAAGAGCTCAACCGTCTCGTACTTAACTATATATATAAGTGACTTCGTATAACCTCAAAAAAAAAGTCCAGCGGTATTAAATCGCACAATCTTGGCGGCCACACGACAAGCACACGACGCGAGATAAGGCGCTCAGCAAAAGCTTGCTTCAATAAATTCATTGTAAGGCATGTTGGGCCGTCTTAACTTGGAGCCAAAGTTCATTCACAGCAACATCCTCCAAAATACGCAAGAAATGGTCATACTTCATCGCTATACATATGTATACCATTCCCCATTGACTGTAACATTATGGTCGACTTCATTTTTGAAGAGATATGGACCTAATAATTCCCCTAATCCATAAAGCACATCAAACGGTGACTTTTTGAGGATGCAGCCGGTATAGCCGTTTAGTTAGTATTGCGTAGTGCCATTTTGAAGACCTGAGTGCGAGTTCTGATGCGACCAACATTACAGAAAATTAAATTTTCTAATTGCGGTCTCCGCTCAGCACGAATGTCTAGCTCTCTAAGTAAAATGGCTTTTCAGAGGCGGCTTAGAATTAATCGTAGGTTCCTCCGTTTGATGAAAACCCATCAAAAAGCATACCAAAACTTGAAAAGGGGCTTGGCCGAAAATCGCTTCCGCTAGAGTAAACGTGGTGCAAAATCGGTAAATATTTGATCGATTTACCGACTGTGCTGGGCGCTGATATCGATCGAATATTGCACGCAGCGCGCTATGCGAAACCAGACCATTATTTTGGTAATAAATTCGTACGATTTGCAAAAGTTGATCCGAAGTAAGTTTGCCTTACTGTGAACTATATGTCTCAGACAAAAAAAAACACCTTTTATGTATTTATCGAGTTCTGTACATATAAGGAAAACAAGTTGTTAAATTATTACATCAAAATTTCAGCAAAAATTAGCTGCCGACATAAATACTAAAAAACAATTTCTCATACGACACACACATAATGAACGGAAAAAATGGCGAACTGTCACTTTGACATTTATAAACTCAGAAACCGGAGTATGTCAGTGAGTGAGTGAGTGAGTGAGTGCGAGAGTGAGTAAATGCATTGGTGTTGCGATGAAGTAAGCACTTACAGCTTAACACCGCCATTTAAGGCAACAAAAGTAAGAAAAAAGCAACAACAAAACAATTGAAAAACAATAAGCTTAGCAAATAATTTACGAGACAACTAACTAAAATAGTAATAAAAATAAATTGCGCGTGGGTAGTTGAAAATTGCACTAAACATGTGTATATATGTATGTACATATGTATCAAGTCAGCCACTCACCTGGAAGACGTGGTGGTGCGACGCAGACTCATGCGTGCCCAATTGTCGCGTGGAATGATACTCAATTCGTCATCGCTAGAAAAAAAAGGGACAAACACAAAACAACAACAACAACAAATATTATTAATAAACACACAAACACTTTCCGCAATTCAAAACACAAAACAAATTTCGGCAAAAACTCACTTGCTCGGCGTTGACGCCGCATTGTTATGTGGCGCTAACTCTAATTCTACACCGCCAACACCACCGCCACTGCCGCTTGCCACAGGGCTACCATTATTGTTGCTGTTGTTGTGGTTGTTGTTGTTGGCAACATCAGTGCCTAGCAAACCGGCGGATACACTAGACGCGGTGCGTTGATGATGATGACCGAGATGATGATGATGCAAGCCGCGTACTTCATTTTCACCATAACCCTCATACGATTCGCCATCGGAGAGTGAGGAGCATTGCGATTTGGCGGCATCTGCGGACCCGAAAAATGCAATAAATGGAAATAAATAATTTTGAAACAAACTCAAGCAAAAAAAAAAAATATATATATATAATATATATATATATATATATATAAAAAACAAACACCACAACAAAACATATGAAAATATATATACTGAAAATATTTAAAAATATGAAAAAATATATATAAACAAAATATTAAAAACAACAAAAAATATATTGAAAATATTTAAAAATATGAAAAATTTATATAAACAAAATATTAAAAACAACAAATAATTTATGAAAGCAAATTAATAAAAAATATGGAAAAACAACAACAAATAATTTATGGAAATAGATAAATAAAATAATATAAGAAAACAAGAAAAAAATTTAATAACAAAATGAAAAAGCAATAAATAATTTATGAAAAAAAACCATAAATAAAAAAAATGAAAAAACAACAAATAATTTATGAAAAAAATATGAAAATGTAAGAAATATGGAAAAACGACAAATAATTTATGGAAATAGATAAATAAAAAAATATAAGAAACAACAAAAAATTATAATAAAAAATGAAAAAACAACAAATAATTTATGAAAAAACATAAATAAAAAAAAATGAAAAAACAACAGAGAATCTATGAAAAAAACAAACACTTTATGAAAAAATATGAAAATATGAAAAATATATGTAAAAGAAAACCAAAAAAATATGCAAAAATCAAAAAACAAATTATGATAAAAATGGGAATGAAAAACAAAAAATTTGTGAAGAAATATGAAATATGAAGAGGGAGGGAAGGAAGGTTTAAAAAAATATGAGAACAGCAAAAAATGTATGGAAAAATAAGAAAATCTAAAAAATTTATATTAAATATAAAAAAAATATATAAAAAAAACTATTTATGCTAAAAACTATTTATGAAAAAAATATTATGTCATATATAAAAAATATAAAAAAACAACCAAATTATATTTAAAAAAATTTAAAACATAAAAAATATGAAAAAAAAACAAAAAATGTATGACAATATAAAAAAATGTATAAAAAACATGAAAAAAAAAAACAAGAAAATTATGAATAACTATGAAAATATGAAAAAATTAAGTAAACAATATAAAAAAATAAAAATATTTATGAAAATAAAAAAAATGTATAAAAAAATGTGAGAAAACAACAAAAAATGTATAAATAGAAAAAACAAATACAATTTTTTTAAACTTCGCTCACTCACCTGTACTGGAGGGCGGCGTTGAGGGCGTTGGACTTGAGTCACCCGGTGATTCGGCCTCGACATAGAGAAAATCACCGTTGGGCTTGGTGCCCTTCATCCTGGGCATTGGTGCCATTTTGTTTATTGCTTATTGAATTTTAATTTTTTCTATTTTTTTTTTATTTCGTTTTCAAAATATATTTTAACACACTTTGATTTTGCTTGCTATTGCCAGTTTTTGTTTCTTCTGCTATCGGTATGGATTAGGAAAAAAGCTGGAAAGAAGATAATAATTTTTTATAATTTTTGTTTCATATATTTATATAAACACAAATATTGAAATCTAAGAAAACAATAAAAAATATCTGTATTAGATACATGTCTATATTGGCATAAACTTAATAACGCTAGGTGGCGCTAGCATCAAATTCTGTTTACAAAAAAATCGAGTGCGTTATTGGTTATGACTCTTATTCGAAAAATTCCTTGAAAAAGATAAGAGAATTCTTAGTTATCCCTAAAATTCGTTTACGGCAGGTGGCGCTGGTGTCAAATTAAACAAAAAAGCACTATTTTTTGGTAAGTAAGGTATTGTGACCTCTTTTTAGTGTAGATACAGCTTCCATGATTCGGCGCCAATTGCTGACCAGGTCATTCCACACCTGATCTTATCAACAGACTAAAGGTTTTCCCTCACCTTCACCTTTCACTTCCTCTTCCCGTTCTTCCATAAACTACTTCATACAACCTATGCTTGGAAGATAACGTGTTTTTAGTCATCGAGTTTTAAGGTCTTGTGCTTGCCCCTCATTTAGTTCCATCCGTATAAAATGAGGTATGTATCTTTCCTATAATCGACACTGATTTCAAGATGTTTCCTCCAACTAAGCTTTCTATCCAGGACTGTAGGAGTTGGATGGTATTAATATAAAATAAATTTTACTCTTAATGAGAATAGGATTGGTGGATCTCGGTCGTTCTCATGAAGTGGGTTAGATACAAAATTTTGTTGAAATAGTTAGCAGCGCATCTACTGTTTGGAGTTCCATGGGAACACGAGTCTTAGTAAATTAGACACCCGAAATTGTAAAAAATAATATTTTTTGGTTACGGTCTCGACTCGGCGGAGAATGTCAGTCAACCCTGCCGAGTGTATTTCTGGCAAAAAACTCTTCATTCATCCGGAGAACGCTCAGAATAAACCATAGATTCCTACATTTGACGGAAAATCAAGAAGACGCGCACTACAAATCGAAGTAGAAAGTCGACCAAAAACTGCTTCAGCCCGAAAGGATTATTGCTCTATAAAATTTTTATTGAAAAAATGTAAATCTTTTACTAAAAATCATGAACCTCTTGAACTTCCAACCGCTAACTACATTCTAATGCCTACATACTTCAATTTTATTAAATAAAATACTTCACTTCATTGTACTTTTCAACAACCTAATTCCGAACGACTTTTCGAAAAGCTAAGCAAGTCAAATAATGTCAAGGCAATGCATGCCTAAAAAGAAAAGAACTATAAAACAGATAAAAAAGTGTGCGTAAATATGTATGTACATATTTGGGAGAAAGAAACACCTAAATACACACACCTATTTATGTATGTACTTATATAGATTAAGTGTAGACATATGTATATACAAACTTATAAAATACATACAGACATACATATATACAAGTAGGTAATGTATTGTACATTTACGAGTTAAATATGACCCAATTGGCTTTGAATTGGAGTGGCTACTGACTGTCACGTGAGTGCATATTGGCTGAAAAAGTGAGTAAAATATTGGAAATGGGACACTTGAATGCAGTTCACTGGTTGTATTCGACATATGTAAGTGTGTAAATAGATATATGTAAATATAAATTGCCTTATGGGGCTTATGCATGCGCAGCTCGGAATATGCATTGAAAGAGATGTGTTAATATGTAAGGTCTTCCTTTATTTTTGTTTTCCCGATTACATTAATGTATATTTGTTTGTATGCATATAGAAATGCATTAAAGCACGTTTCGATTACACATTGTTGTTTTTTTTTTTTTTTTCTTTTTTTGAAATGAAAAAAATGTAATCTGTCACTCGTGAGCTATTTGAAGCCTAAGCGGCATGTACAGTGCGTTATAAAAGTATTCAAACAATCCTTTTTTTGTGCTGTAACAAAGTTTTGGTTTTTAATTTTTTAATGCAATAAAATTCATTTTCGAATAATTAAAAAAAAAATAATATATATTGTAATTTCTGGTTATATGGGCTTCACAGCTTTAAAAAAAATTGTTTAATTAAGACAATTTATTTTTACAAAATCTCGAAAATATTATTCTAAATATTCAAGTCGATCTGTATAAAGGTTTCGGCGATACAGACTTGGGAAGGTCTGCGCTCAAAGCTCAAAGGCATTTTGAACTTAAAACGCATCTTTCTCGAAAGTGTGCTTTCAAAGTTCGGTTGTCAAAAGCTCTCGAAAACTACTCATTTAAAACAAAAAAAAAATTTACTCAAAATACACTTTCCACATTTTTTATTTCGCTTTGTACAAGTTTATGGTATTATCTACAACACATTTTTTTTACTTGAGATGCTCCTGTTCCGAGTTCTGCTGTCAACACAGAGGCAATTTTTCTCTAAGGCTCTTTGGAGGTGACGTTACATTCAAGGAGTTATGAATATTTTTCTTTCAGACATTTTTTTCAATTGTATGTCTCTAAAACATTACATATATCTAAAAAAATATATATCTATAAAAAAAAGCTAAAAATAAAATAATTTTTTTTAGCATCAAAAAATATTGAACTTTTTTTCTCAGTCGGTCGGGTGATGCATCTGAAACAGTCGAACCATTTTTATTTTTATTTTTTTTTTTTTTGTAATTTTTATGAGTGTCTCTTCTATATGAACTAAAATATACAAAATAAGTTGGAAAATTCCAAATTTTTTTGAAGTTTGAAACAAAAATCTACTTCAAGCAGCAAAAAAGAATTAGATATAATTTATTATTAAAGCTTGAACAGTTCGATTTTTATTGATCAGACATATACTTATATTATATATATATTTGAGGAAATCTTCTTGGAAACCTTCTAGATAGATCTAAGAAAGAAATATGCATTATTTGAAGCCTCTAGAGCAGACTACTGTCTTACGACATGACCACATTGTGAACACTTTTTGCTCCAAATTATTTTTTACAATTTTTAAACTTTCCTTAATATTATATAATTTTCTTGCGAGCAATAGCATTTTTCAAAATATATTTAAATAATTTGTAAAAAATTACAATAAATGTTTTTTCCAACATTTACTTATATTCCTTATATTTAATTTTTCTAAATCACCAAATGAAATCCATAATTGGGATTATAGGCCTAGAACAGCCAATTTTCTTTATTCATTCTTTATACTACATACTCGTATATTATATGTATATATGTTTGTACAATAAGTAAAAATTTTTTTATGCAATTATTTTGGTTCCAATCATCAACTTACATACTTGCCACACGGAAGACATTTTCGTTTTTATTTTTGCTTTTTATCTTATTTTCTTAAATTATTTATTTTTTTTTTTTGTGTGAATGCTTTATTGATACATATTTGTGCCCATTTTTCGATTGGCCTGAATTTATAAGAACTAAAAGGCCGATGAAAAATGTAAGACAACAGTAAATTAGTAAATGTGTAAATAATTGTGGCTGGTGAATTTTGTTTCATTCTTTTTTTTTGCTTTTTCTCTTTTTCCCTTTTTTATTTTTTTTAATTTTTTTTTTTTAATTTTATTTCTATTATTTTATAGCATTCCAACTGCCTCATCGAGCTCTATTACAGTTATTAAGTCAACTGTGTTGTTCTTTTAATTGTAGTTATTGTTATTGTTTTTTGTTGACTTCTCTCTTATTTCTTCATCTTGCCGATGAGAACTTATTGATTTTGTCCGTAAAGCGGAACAACAAAATTATAATAAAATAATAATTTGTTTGAAAATGATAAAAAGAATATAAAGAAATAATTAGACGAAAGGGGAGACAAAGTAAATGTAACAGTTTCTTTTTAAAAGATTAATAACTAAATAAGGAGAACATCATATGAAAGCGATTAAGAATATTTAATAGGAATATTTATACTACAAGTCATCAAAGTTAGGCCATAATTACTAATGCAGTCAACCAAGGCCGCCTCATTTGCTATATCCTTGTACCTACCTATGAGCAGGAGCAGTAAAACTAGTATAAATTCGAACACGAAGACGAAAGTCAGTAAGAATGCAAGTACGAATACCAATACAAATGTCAATATTAATACGAAGACACCTACCAAAACGAATGCGAATACGAATGTGAATACGAATACCTACGGATGTGGAATTTATTTATGGAATTCTAAAAATAATACGCATACGAATATCAATTGAAAACGAATTGGGATATGAATACGAATAGAAATACGAGTACAAATGCGGGAACGAATTATTTCGAATATGGACTTTAACTGTGGAATTCTAAAATGAATATGAACACGATTGCAAAATCGGAAACAGATGGGAACGCATAGCAAAAAGCAAAAAAAATACTTTCGGGTATAAATTTTAATTTTTAGAATTTTAGAATAAAACGAATGTTTCTTAGCTGTCACTTGAGTGAGGCCTAATGCCTACGCTATCTCCTGACTTAGTACAACTATACATACATATGTATAATAATAACAAATTGAGAGCACACATTTCTCTTATACATATATATAAACCTATAAATTCATCATCAAAAATATTCACATTTTCGGTACAATGAGAAAATCAATAGCAATTATAAGATAAAACCAGGTTACACGCTACTATAATCCAATATAATTTCATGTTGCCGACAATCGCAGACCAAATCATTCATCAAATGTCTGCGGTTAAGTGAAAGTAGGCGCTCTGTCTGCCTAACTCTTGGCAAGTAAATTTACACCACCGAAGAATATATCTTTTTGGTGACTTTTTCTGCAGCTTTTCTTTTGTACTAGTGTGTATGTGTAGGCATAACTGTCACAAATTGCGTTTAGCGACTGGAAAATAATAAGAAAAAAGTGGTAAAGTAAAAGTCGTATTTGTTGGTGTTTTTTTTTTTTTTGTTTTTTTTTTTGGTGCAGGTGTGCTTTGCAGTTAGTAACGGTGCTAGTGAAAAGCGTATTTTTTCTTCTTGAGAAATTTTGTTATATTTTTATATTTTACCTTTTTTCCTTTTCACCAAAAAGAAAAATAGAAAATTAAAAATAAATAAAAAAAAACTG